AGGCGTGATGCTTACCCTCTCCTCTTACAGCGACTCAACCCTTACATTTCCTCGTCTGTCTGAACTTTTCTCGTCCAGCTTCTGCAGCTGCGGGCGGGTCTGGTTCGGGTCTGCAGACTCCGACCCAACCCAGTTTCCTTGGATGGGTTCGAGGGGCACTCTCGGCATGCCGTCAGACTTTATTAACCACTAATCCATCAGCCGTCGCCCTGTGGGATGGGAGCTTCGCCCCACTGGCCCAGAACCCAAAAGGCGCCACACGTCAGATCAAAGCCGGGCCCGAGAGCCCGGCACCACCTGCTTAGTTGGGCCAGATTCTGTTGGGACTGATGGAAGCAGATCTATTATCACCGTTTGTCTTACTGGACGGTTCTGGCCAATCAGAGCTCTCCATCGGGTCAGTGGGATGCTGCCGGGTCCGAGGTTTTACTCTCAGCTGGGTTTCCCTGGATGTTGTTCCGTAATCCGCTGAAGTGTTGGGATATCGTGGTAGCGAGCAGCTGGTGATGATGCTCGTGGAGCGCTCGCGCTCTGGGAGCAGCAGAGGCTCAGCCAGAGCGCCGCTCTCGTGTGCTGCAGTGATTAGATGCTGAGTGAGGGAGCAGGAACACTTCAGCACACCTCCTGTAGTGATTATTAACACACACCCTACCCCCATCTCATTCTGCTTCGTCTCCCAGCATGCACTGCTCCCCTCTGGATGCAGCTTCATCTCCTCTCTGGCCCAGTTAGACAAAACAAGGCGGTCTCCTTCCACGTCCCTCCTGGACAACTGGACTGGTTTCTGTCCTGATCAGGACTTTGACTCGCTGAGCAGCAGGAGCAGCCGTCCTGTAGCCTGTCCTCTACAGCAGTCAGTCCTGGTTCCTACCGGCCCGGCAGGACCACTGACCTACCGTCCGGTCACGGCCCGGAGACAGGAACCGGTCCTGGGGCCGAGCCTGTGGGTGTTTTACAAACCGCCACTGGGAAGGTCATCCAAACACGCAGAAACACCCTGTTCCTGGTGGCCATGTTTCCTGCTGACCTCCATCCAGTGATTCCCAACCCTGGTCCTCAGGGAACGCTGTCCTGCATGTTTTCCATGTTGTTCTTTTGAACATCAGCGTTTCTCTGCTGCCACACACCTGACTTAGATGAATGAGTGATTAACAGGTATCTGCAGCACTTGATGTCCTCCTGAGGACCAGGGTTGGGCATCGCTGCCCTGTCGGCTCTTTACGCAGAGACACGCTTAAATGGTCTGAAGTTGATGCCAGAGCCCTTCCTGAGCGACGCCATCTTTGAACTTTTTCCTCCATTGCAGCTCTAGCGTTAAGGCCACCTACAACCCCCCCCCCCGAACACACACACACACACACACACACACACACACACACACACACACACTTACACACACACACACACACACACACACACACACACACACCGTGTGTGTGACGGGTAAAGAACCCTCCGGTTCCACCTGGTCAGATCCAGCCTCTGATCCCTGAGATTCTGTGATGAGCGGTTCTGAGCATCCATCTGATGGTCCTGGTCGGTTCTGGTTCTGGTCCCGGGTTACTGTTGTTGTTATTCTGCGCGTTCACCAGGAAGCTTCGGACCTGCCAACCGGCGCTCTCTCACAGGAATGTTCTGGAGAGGTTTTGGACCGAGTCCAGTGCTCGCACACTGCTCGCTCTGTCTCGTGTCCCAGAACTGAGAGCTGCTCAGTGTGAGGGAGGCGTGGAGCTCAACGAGCCTTTCTGTCCAACGTGTCCCTGCATATGGACACTCGTGTCACACGTCCCAGCAGCCGATCTACTGGACGTTTGAGGTCCAACAGGCAGCTGGTTCTGGACCGTCCTGGGACCAGAACCAGGAGCCCAGTGTAAAAACAAAACCTGATCCAGATGTGTGCTGAGGCCACACCCTCCTGTTGGAAGACCATTTCCATGGTTACCACACACACACCAGAGACAATCAGACACCGTCCCACGGTTAGTGGACATGTCTCAGTCAGCTGAGGGTATCGAACATGGCCGCTACTCTTGAGGACACGGTGCCTGCAGCTCACCCGTCCTCCTGCAGCTCACCCGTCCTGTCGCTCACCCGTCCTCCTGCAGCTCACCCGTCCTCCTGCAGCTCACCCGTCCTCCTGCAGCTCACCTGTCCTCCTGTCGCTCACCCGTCCTGCAGCTCACCCGTCCTGCAGCTCACCCGTCCTGCAGCTCACCCGTCCTGTCGCTCACCCGTCCTGTCGCTCACCCGTCCTCCTGCAGCTCACCCGTCCTCCTGCAGCTCACCTGTCCTCCTGTCGCTCACCCGTCCTGCAGCTCACCCGTCCTGCAGCTCACCCGTCCTGTCGCTCACCCGTCCTCCTGTCGCTCACCGTCCTCCTGCCACTCACCCGTCCTCCTGCCACTCACCCGTCCTCCTGCAGCTCACCCGTCCTGTCGCTCACCCGTCCTCCTGTCGCTCACCGTCCTCCTGCCACTCACCCGTCCTCCTGCCACTCACCCGTCCTCCTGCAGCTCACCCGTCCTGTCGCTCACCCGTCCTCCTGTCGCTCACCGTCCTCCTGCAGCTCACCCGTCCTCCTGTCGCTCACCGTCCTCCTGCAGCTCACCCGTCCTCCTGTCGCTCACCGTCCTCCTGTCGCTCACCCGTCCTCCTGTCGCTCACCCGTCCTCCTGCCACTCACCCGTCCTCCTGCAGCTCACCCGTCCTCCTGCCACTCACCCGTCCTCCTGCAGCTCACCCGTCCTCCTGTCGCTCACCCGTCCTCCTGCCGCTCACCCGTCCTCCTGCCGCTCACCCGTCCTCCTGCCACTCACCCGTCCTCCTGCCACTCACCCGTCCTCCTGCAGCTCACCCGTCCTGTCGCTCACCCGTCCTCCTGTCGCTCACCCGTCCTCCTGTCGCTCACCCGTCCTCCTGCAGCTCACCCGTCCTGTCGCTCACCCGTCCTCCTGTCGCTCACCCGTCCTCCTGTCGCTCACCCGTCCTCCTGCCGCTCACCCGTCCTCCTGCAGCTCACCCGTCCTCCTGCAGCTCACCCGTCCTCCTGCAGCTCACCCGTCCTCCTGTCGCTCACCCGTCCTCCTGTCGCTCACCCGTCCTCCTGCAGCTCACCCGTCCTCCTGCAGCTCACCCGTCCTCCTGCAGCTCACCCGTCCTCCTGTCGCTCACCCGTCCTCCTGTCGCTCACCCGTCCTCCTGCAGCTCACCCGTCCTCCTGCAGCTCACCCGTCCTCCTGTCGCTCACCCGTCCTCCTGTCGCTCACCCGTCCTCCTGCCGCTCACCCGTCCTCCTGCAGCTCACCCGTCCTCCTGCAGCTCACCCGTCCTCCTGCAGCTTTGTGTGAAACATGAATAGAAACTAAAGATGTTCCACCAGAAACCATCTGAAGCTCTGATCTGAGCTCTGCTGGCAGCGTGCCCATGAAGGTGCAGAGGGGGAGGAGCTGGGGCCTACCTCAGGTTTTCCCGCCACGTTTGCTCTTCATTACAGAACCCTAAGCCTCCCAGATCAAAACAAACTTTCTCTCTTGTCAGAGACGAAAGCCTCCTCCTGTGTGGGCGTTCCTGCAGCTGCTGGCTCAGGTGCAGGATGTGTTCAGACAGATGCCGTGTGATGTCATGTCTGCTGCTGGGCTGATGGGAGGCGTGCTCCTCCAGCAGGAACATGAGGCCCTTCTAACCCTAACCCTTCTGAAGAGTAACGGTGACAACGTGGACACTCGACAGAGTAGCTGATGTCAGACGCTGAACACTCCCCTAGGCCACTCCCCCACTATACAGGAGAGTGCTGGACACATCAGAGGCTGTCCAAAAACAAGACGTAATCTTAAAGGACCCATCGAGCCACCGTGGTGTCGGTCTGCAGCCTTTCTGTTCCTCCTGCTAACGCCGTCGTTCTAACGCAGCCTCGTACAACGCTGCCGGCTCGCCAGGGGCGGTGCCCATGACCACGTGATCTGCTGATGTCCCTGGCTTTTGCTGTGAGCAGCAGGTGGAGCACCAACTCTGGAGCACCCAGTGACTCCGCCCCCAGCCACTTGGAGAAGGGGCAATAGTCCGGTGCCGGTCAGGAGTTCCCCGGACTCGGTCCCACTGAAAGTTTAATTATAATAAACATTTTATTTAAAAGTGCCTTTCAAGGAACTTAAGGTGACTGTTGAACTATTAAAAACGGTAAAAACGAATGTAGTAACTAATTATTCATAAACCCGAGTCCCCGAGGGCAGCAGCTGGTGGCTCTGAACCCGGTGCCACTAAGAGGGAAGGATGGAACAAGGTGGACAGACGACGCTGTCGTTGTGTCCTTGGGCAAGACACTCAACCCCCCTGGTCGAAGGGACGGGTGGCGCCTTTGCTCAGCAACCTCGCCTCTGTCAGAGCGCCCCAGGGCAGCTGTGGCTACATCGTAGCTCATCACCACCAGCGTGTGAACGTGTGTGTGTGAATGGGTGAATTGGAGTCCTCTGACTAGAAGTGTGGCTCATTCATCCTTTACGTAGGAGAAGACCCTGGGCTCTGCTGCTTCGGCTCAGCCTACGTAACCGTATGCTAACTACAGCTAGCCCAGCTCTAGCTTCACTTCCTGTTCAGCTGCTCCTGGAAGAGCAGGGACGTTGGGCCATGGAGGAGGTCTCCGGGACGATTCCGTTTTCTGACTAAAACCTTTCGTTTCCACCGGAGTGTGAAGAGCGTGGGACATGGCAGGAATGCTCCAGAAAAACATCTCCTAACTCAGACTTAGCTCTGCAGACCGAGCGTTGCCATGGCAACCTGACACCCCCTCCCACACACACACACACACCCCGGTTCCCAGCAGCTGTGTGGAGGGCTTTGTTTCTGTCTCCGTCCTGTCGCTCAGAGGGAAGCGGGACACAGACTCCCCATCACGCTGCAGACGGACCCAGCTGTGCTCTCGTTTCTATATTTAACAGCATCTGTCCCATCAGAGCCGTCCACACGAAGGACTCCGTCCTGAGGGACCTGCAGGTCGATCTGCTCTTTATTTAATGGTTTCAGCTAAGAGATGGATTTATGGGACGCTAAAGCTGCCTTTTATAAGCCAGGAGTTTTATTTAATGTGGCTTTAATCCAGATTCTGTCCACGTCTCACTCCCACTGAAACCGTCCTGTGAGGACATTAAAGCGGACATCGTCGTTCTTCCGCTGGTTTTATGTAACATATGATTAAAAATACAAATCCTCCCTTTGTTTACCTGCTGATCTGCATCTGGGTGGAGGTTTAAGTACCGGCGTTAAGGGATCCGGGTCGAGAGCACTCAGATTAGAGAGCTTAGTCCTCCTGTCTCCGTGTAATTAATGAGACACATGAAGACAAACAGCAGCAGGAGCACGGCGAGGCTGCTTCTATAATAACTGGCTGCTCTGTGGTCGGGTATTTCTGAGCCAACCGCCATCCAGAAGCAACAAGCCACGCGGCCTGGAAGAGTCCAGAACATCTGAGACGTCATGAAAGGAGGACAGGAATGCGTCCAGCGGCACGTCCAGTCAGTCCGGTCTGAAAATATGCGCCTGGAACTCCAGAAACAGTTTTTAGTGCTTCGACTGATGTTTCCTGTCCCATCAGAGGACTCGGGTCCTCCTGTCCCATCGGAGCAGGACTCGGGTCCTCCTGTCTCATCGGAGCAGGACTCGGGTCCTCCTGTCCCATCGGAGCAGGACTCGGGTCCTCCTGTCCCATCGGAGCAGGACTCGGGTCCTCCTGTCTCATCGGAGCAGGACTCGGGTCCTCCTGTCTCATCGGAGCAGGACTCGGGTCCTCCTGTCCCATCGGAGCAGGACTCGGGTCCTCCTGTCCCATCGGAGCAGGACTCGGGTCCTCCTGTCCCATCGGAGCAGGACTCCGGTCCTCCTGTCCCATCGGAGCAGGACTCGGGTCCTCCTGTCCCATCGGAGCAGGACTCGGGTCCTCCTGTCTCATCGGAGCAGGACTCCGGTCCTCCTGTCCCATCGGAGCAGGACTCGGGTCCTCCTGTCCCATCGGAGCAGGACTCGGGTCCTCCTGTCCCATCGGAGCAGGACTCGGGTCCTCCTGTCCCATCGGAGCAGGACTCGGGTCCTCCTGTCCCATCGGAGCAGGACTCGGGTCCTCCTGTCCCATCGGAGCAGGACTCGGGTCCTCCTGTCCCATCGGAGCAGGACTCGGGTCCTCCTGTCCCATCGGAGCAGGACTCGGGTCCTCTTGTCTCATCGGAGCAGGACTCGGGTCCTCCTGTCCCATCAGAGGACTCGGGTCCTCCTGTCCCATCGGAGCAGGACTCCGGTCCTCCAGTCCCATCGGAGCAGGCTTCGGGTCCTCCTGTCCCATCGGAGCAGGCTTCGGGTCCTCCTGTCTCATCGGAGCAGGACTCGGGTCCTCCTGTCCCATCGGAGCAGGACTCGGGTCCTCCTGTCCCATCGGAGCAGGACTCGGGTCCTCCTGTCTCATCGGAGCAGGACTCGGGTCGTCCTGTCCCATCGGAGCAGGACTCGGGTCCTCCTGTCCTATCAGAGGACTCGGGTCCTCCTGTCCCATCGGAGCAGGACTCGGGTCCTCCTGTCCCATCGGAGCAGGACTCTGAACAGTCCAGTTGTCTCTCAGGATTCATCTTTCCAGTAATCCAGCAGAAACAGCTTCCTGCTGTCGGAGAACAGACCTGAAACCCTGGTGGTCCACAGTAGATGGTTCTGAGTCACTGAGCAGGATCAGTTGTTCCTGCAGAACCAGGGGGAACCGGGTCTCTCTCATGTGTGATGGACCATCTCCTGTCATTCATTTGTCATCCGGGCCCAAGTTTTAGAAGACATGGAGGAAGGATGGAGCAACAGAACCTCAGGTCTCCTGGATCTGCTGTAAGGATTCATGCCTCACACACACGGCTGCAGCAAGTTTCCTCCTGACTGTAACAAGGAGACGGAGGCAGACGGGGACATGAGGACACACAAAGGCCTGGGGTGTCTCTCAGTGTCGAGGCGCCTGGCCTTACGAGGACACGGTCCTTCCTTGGTCTAAGAAAACAGTTAGATGGAACAGACTTGCATCACATGACCACGGCTTCCACGTCACGTGACACGGGAGATAACGTTATATTTTATACGTATTAGTTTCAGTATAAATATATAACGAGTCTTTTACTTTTTAAATGGTGTATATGTTTATTAAATTAAATATATAAGCGAGTTACTACCCGCTAGCCACCGAAGCTGCAACTACTAAGCTACTAACCAACCATAGATAACTTCTATGGATCTAAAAAACATTTTAAATTAGCTGACTTACTTTTAAACTTGAAAACTGTCCCGAAGTAGCTGCCGGCTTCTGATCCGCCGTCCTTTAGAAATACCGCGGTGTATTGTGGGTAATGTTTGACCAAGGCTAGGCTACAAGACACCTCCCGTGTATCCTCGCTCAGCTAGCTAAACGGAGAACCCGCCTCGGTAGGGCATGAACACTGGAACCGATTGGAACACGTCTTGGCGGCTCCTGATGACGTATCTCCTAGGCAACTGGGGCGGGGCCAAGACATCAAGGCAAGGTTCCTTCACAATGAGAAAACCCCAGGTTCCACCAGAGTGGCTCTGTGATGCAAGAGGACACCAGAAGACGTGAATCCTCTGAAATCTGAACCTTCAGCCTACAGCTTCTACTCGGTCCCTTTTCTGCGGTCCGTCGTCCACGAGCTGCTGGACTGGTTCGAACCGGTCCCAGAGGGTTAAGGTGCCATCTCAGACCGAAGCTGAAAGTAGGCTCTGGTGTCAACCGGTCAGAACCAGACTTATGGGTCTGGGCTTGTGGTGGTTCTGCTGGAAACAAAAACTTTAAATGTTTTTCTCTTCTTCAGGTTTGACTATCAGGAGCTGCTCCACAACTCCACCTTCTGTTTGGTTCCCCGAGGCCGACGACTGGGATCCTTCCGCTTCCTGGAGTCACTGCAGGTAAATACAGGTGCTGGCCAGTAAATTAGAATATCATCAAAAGGTTGAAAATATTTCAGTAATTCCATTCAAAACGTGAAACTTGTACATTATATTCATGCAATGCACACAGACCAATGTATTTCCGATGTTTATTACGTTTAAATTTGATATTCATAAGTGACAACTAATGAAAACTCCACATTTGGTATCTCAAAAAATTAGAATATTCTGAAAAGGCTGAATATAGAAGACACCTGCTGCCACTCTAATCAGCTGATTTACTCAAAACACCTGCAAAGGCCTTTAAAAGGTCCCTCAGTCTTGTTTTGAAGGCACCACAATCATGGGGAAGACTTCTGACTTAACAGCTGTCCAAAAGACAATCATTGACACCTTGCACAAGGAGGGCAAGACACAAAAGGTGATTGCTAAAGAAGCTGGCTGTTCGCAGAGCTCTGTGTCCAAGCACATTAACAGACAGGCGAAGGGACGGAAAAAATGTGGTAGAAAAAAGTGTACAAGCTCTAGGGATAACCGCACCCTGCAGAGAATTGTGACGACAAACCCATTCAAAAATGTGGGGGAGATCCACAAAGAGTGGACTGCAGCTGGAGTCAGCGCTTCAAGAACCACCACAAGGAGACTCATGAAAGACATGGGATTCAGGTGTCGCATTCCGTGTGTCAAGCCACTCTTGAACATGAAACAGCGCAAGAAGCGTCTCGCCTGGGCCAAGGACAAAAAGGACTGGACTGATGCTGAGTGGTCCAAAGTTATGTTTTCTGATGAAAGCAAGTTCTGCATTTCCTTTGGAAATCAAGGACCCAGAGTCTGGAGGAAGAGCGGAGAAGCACAGAATCCACGTTGCATGAGGTCCAGTGTAAAGTTTCCACCGTCAGTGATGGTGTGGGGTGCCATGTCATCTGCCGGTGTTGGCCCACTCTGTTTCCTGAGGTCCAGGGTCAATGCAGCCGTCTACCAGGAAGTTTTAGAGCACTTCATGCTTCCTGCTGCTGACCAACTTTATGGGGATGCAGACTTCACCTTTCAACAGGACTTGGCACCTGCACACAGTGCCAAAACCACCAGCACCTGGTTCAAGGACCATGGTATCCCTGTCCTTGATTGGCCAGCAAACTCGCCTGACCTTAACCCCATAGAAAATCTATGGGGTATTGTGAAGCGGAGGATGCAATACGCTAGACCCAACAATGCAGAGGAGCTGAAGACGACTATCAGAGCAACCTGGGCTCTCATAACACCTGAGCAGTGCCACAGACTGATCGAGTCCATGCCACGCCGCATTACTGCAGTTATTGAGGCAAAAGGAGCCCCGACTAAGTATTGAGTGCTATACATGCACATTCTTTTCATGTTCATTCTTTTCAGTTGGCCAACATTAGAGAAACAAACATTTTTTCATTGGCCTTTAGAATATTCTAATTTTCTGAGATACCAGATTTGATGTTTTCATTGGTTGTCACCTATAAATATCAAAATTAAACGTAATAAACATCGGAAATACATTGGTCTGTGTGCATTGCATGAATATAATGTACAAGTTTCACGTTTTGAATGGAATTACTGAAATATTTTCAACCTTTTGATGATATTCTAATTTACTGGCCAGCACCTGTACACCTGGTCAGGTGAACTCACCTGCAGGGACAGTTTAGAGATCATCTCTTTATTTATCAGAATCAGAAACCCAAAGTTTCTAACGGAGATACTTTCTGAAAATGTTTCATGTTTTGGTTTATGGAGATGAAGGGAATCAGCTGATCTGGTGAACAACATCCAGAATGCTCTGGGCTTTACCGAAAGATCCCATGTCTGCTTCCTGTTAGAGGACTTCCTGTCTGTGTTAGAGGACTTCCTGTCTCCGTTAGAGGACTTCCTGCCTGCGTTAGAGGACTTCCTGTTTCTGTTAGTGGACTTCTTGTATCTGTTAGAGGACTTCCTGTCTGTTAGAGGACTTTCTGTATGTGTTAGAGGACTTCCTGTATCTGTTAGTGGACTTCCTGTATCTGTTAGAAGACTTCCTGTATCTGTTAGAAGACTTCCTGTATCTGTTAGAAGACTTCCTGTATCTGTTAGAGGACTTCCTGTCTGTGTTAGAGGACTTCCTGTCTGTGTTAGTGGACTTCCTGCCTCTGTTAGACTTCCTGCCTCCGTTAGTGGACTTCCTGTCTCTGTTAGAGGACTTCCTGTCTGTGTTAGAGGACTTCCTATATCTGTTAGTGGACTTCCTGTATCTGTTAGAAGACTTCCTGTATCTGTTAGAGGACTTCCTGTCTGTGTTAGAGGACTTCCTGTCTGTGTTAGAGGACTTCCTGTCTGTGTTAGAGGACTTCCTGTCTGTGTTAGTAGACTTCCTGTCTGTGTTAGTAGACTTCCTGCCTCTGTTAGAGGACTTCCTGTCTGTGTTAGAGGACTTCCTGTCTGTGTTAGAGGACTTCCTGTCTCTGTTAGAAGACTTCCTGTATCTGTTAGAGAACTTCCTGCCTCCGTTAGTGGATTTCCTGTCGCTGTTAGAGAACTTCCTGTCTGTTTCCTGCCCGATAACAGTGAGAAAATTCTTGACACACACACACACACACACACACACACACAGAGTAGCCGGAGTAACCTCAGAGTAGAAAGGGGAGGAGCCAATCAACTGGACCATATAACTGTGTGTGTGTGTGTGTGTGTGTGTGTGTGTGTGTGTGTGTGTGTGTGTGTGTGTGTGTGTGTGTGTGTGTGTGTGTGTGTGTGTGTGCGTGCGTGCGTGTGCATGCGTAGGCGGCGTGTGTCCCCGTGCTGCTGAGCAACGGCTGGGAGTTGCCGTTTTCTGACGTCATCCAGTGGAACCAGGCCGTCATCGAAGGAGACGAGAGGCTCCTGCTGCAGGTAACGCACCTGAGATTGTTGCTTCAGGAGGTCTGCGGCTCAAGCCCCGCCTCCCTCCCTCGTCAGCACCTGATGTCGAACGTGTTCTTCATGTTTTAATCTGTGACTGCTCTGGTGTCTGAAGGTCCCGTCCACAGTGAGAGCGGTACCAAACGAGCGGGTTCTGGCCCTCAGACAGAGAACCCAGGTTCTGTGGGACGCCTATTTCTCCTCTGTGGACAAGATCGTCCTCACCACTCTGGAGGTCAGAGGTCCAACACGCATCACCATGGAGACCAAATGTTTCCCTCCGAGGTTCTGGCGGGTTTTAGTCTAGGCTCAGCTGTAGGTCCGACCCGTGCCCGATGGGTCACAGAGAAAACGGAGCAGGATGAACACGAGCAGAGGCTCCGAGAGGAGGGGTTCTGAGCCCGGTTCTACAAACCCACTTCTGATGGAGGAGCTCATTTTAACAGAAGCATCTCTGAATTTCACAATAAAAGCCTCAAGCATTCACAAACCTGAAAAGGTGTGAAGTTTCAGAAGATATTTCATTTTTGTTCTGGGATGAAACTCGGTTGTCAGATCCGGTTCTGGTGTCGGATCTAGCCAAGTCCTGCCTCGCTAGCACGAGGCATGGGTGACGTGATCAGGTCTCAGAGCAGCGGAGCGGCTCCGGAGGCGGCTGCTGCCGGGGTTTAGGCTCGGAACAGTTCTGTGGTCTGAGATCATCTGCTTCTGCGTGTAGCGGGTCCAGCTGGCCCGGACCCTGGTTTTGGACCGGCTCTAAGCCCTCCTGCTGTGTGTCTGTCTCCAGATCATCAAGGACCGCATCTTTTCTCACGTCTCCAGGAACAGGTTCATGTGGAACTCACTGCCAGGAGGTCTGCTGGTTCTACCGGAGTACTCCACTCACCTGGCCCACTTCCCGTTCTACTACCTGGGACTAGGTAACACCCGAGTCATCGAGTCCAAAAGTCTGTTGGGACAAACTAAGAACCCCTCCAGAGGCTCACGCTTCAGCTTACCTTAGTTCTGTTCGACCCAATCGGTTCTGTTCAGACGAAACTGGTGGAGGATCGTCCTCTAACTGCTGACATTTCTTCTTCTGTGGTTTGTGATCTGTTTAGGGGTCAGTCCCGGTCAAGAGTTCACCGCCGTCATCCACGCCGTCTCCCCATTGGTCTCTCAGTCACAGCCAATCATGAAGCTTCTTCAGGTGGTCTCCAGGTCCAAGTACTGCTCTCAGGTAAACCAGGATGTAGCCATGGGGTCATGGGGTCATGGGGGCGGGTCCTGATGGAGCGATGATGAACTCTTCTTTGGTTCCAGATCATCATTCTGTGGAACAGCGAGAAGCCGCCGCCCAGCCGGAGCAAATGGCCCCCGATGCCCGTCCCCCTCGTGGTGACTGACGGCAGGAGGAAGGTGAGAACCAATCACGTCTTTCTGGGACATCAGAGGGCGGAGCCATCAGCTCTCTTCCTGTCTGTCTCAGAGCAGGTCCAGAGTCAGTTCCCACAAGTCTCACACCTCTTTCCCTCACAGACCACCAGCCGGTTCCTACCTCACGTTGCCATAGAGACGGAGGCGGTGCTGAGTCTGGATGAGGACACAGTCCTGCTGACCAGTGAGGTGTGTGAAGATCAAACACGGAGCACACCTGAGAACCGAGTGGAGCCCGTCAGACGTGTGTGTGTGTGTTTTCAGGTGAACTTTGCCTTCCTGGTTTGGCGTAGTTTTCCTGATCGGATCGTCGGCTATCCTCCCCGGAGCCACTTCTGGGATCCCGTGAAGCACGCCTGGAGCTACACGTCCAAGTGGACCAACGAGTACTCCATCGTCCTGACAGGAGCAGCCTTCTACCACAGGTCCGACATCACAGGTCCAATCAGAACCACGAACCCTTCAGAGAACAGAGTAGCAACCAGAATCCCGCAGAACAGATCCGAGGAAGAGCAGCTGGACAGAGATGGGCTGACGTCAGGTGTCCTGTAGGGTCGATCCAGCACGCCCACCGTTTATGGAAAGTTTAGTGAAGGATTTTTTCCCTAAAACATCCGTGGAGTTTGGGAATCCTGCGTGTTTATTGAAGGGAAGTGAGTTTACCCGACTTCCTGTTGGAGAAATGCAGCACGAGTCAGGAACAGCTCGAAGGCAGAAGCTCTTCCAGTCACTAGGGAAAAGGAACCGGGTCAGGTTTACTGCAGAACGTCTGCACCTGAAGCTTCTGCTCCAGGAAACCAGGTTTCAGCTAAGCTCATCGGATTTAGTCAAGCTGAATATTCATCCTGAAACAGGAAGCTGACAGGTGAGACTGACCAAAGCTGTGCACCTGTGCCACAGGTACTACAACTACCTGTTCTCCCACCACCTGCCTGTGTCGCTGCGGACACTCGTGGATCGGACCTCCAACTGTGAGGACATCCTGATGAACTTCATGGTTTCGGCCGTGACTCACCTGCCTCCCGTGAAAGTGGCTCAAAGGAAGCAGCACAAGGAGCTGCCGGCTCCCCAGGTACGCCTCTCTCACCCCTCGCTCGCTCGCTGAGCAGCGGTTTTAATTGGCTCTGTCCTGACAGGTGATGAAGAGCGTTTCCTGGGCCAGTCCTGAGCACTTCAGTCAGAGGCAGGAGTGCATCAACACCTTCTCCACCTGGTTCGGATACATGCCTCTGGTCCACTCGCAGCTCCGCCTGGACCCCGTCCTCTTCAGAGACCAGGTCTCCGTCCTCCGCAAGAAGTACAAAGACCTGGAGCGGGCGTAACGCTGGCGACAGGCCAGCAGCACGCCAGGTCCGGTCTGCTGGACTCTGGACCAATCAGCTGAGGGCACAAAGGCCCCGACGGTTCTGACCCGCAGCAGGAGCCGAGACAGGACTGAAGAATCAGCCTGAGAGGCACCAGAACTGGTACTGGTTCTGTGCGGTCAGCTGTTACTGCAGGGACTGTTGCCATGGAAACAGATGGTTTCACTAACTGTAACCCCAATAAAGTGGTTTCTAAATGCAGCTGAGCTTCGGTCTCTGCCCGCTTCAGCAGGCAGGTGAGCCTTGCCAGGTGTGGTTGCACCTGCCGACACACCTGCTGTGATTCCTAAACATGGTTCTGGCCCGGTTCTGACTGGCTTATAGGTGCTGAGAGCCAGGCCAGGAGTGCGAGTACGTAGGGTGTCCCGAAGTGTGGAAGTTGGTCACCAGTGATGGGAATAACGGCGTTCCTAAACAGAATAGTTTTTTCAGTAACGGGTGATCTAATCATCGCCGCCTTTTATCAGAACGCCGTTTCCGTTACTGATAAGGAAATGCGTGCGTTACCGATTCAGCAGCGCGGCGTGTTGTAGCCGTCATCAGCTGATCAGGAGCTAAAGAGGTAGATGTTTTCATCCAAGAGCATCACGGCCGTGAAGAACGAGGAAGACGTGATGACTAGACACAGCTGCAGGTGTGGATCTGCAGCCGTGCCCTTCTTGGCGGGACGTCCCGAAGGTCCGCTCACCTGTTCACCGCTCAGATCTTCTACCTTCCTAGATCATCCAGCTGTAACCTGTTCCTGATCAGGTCTTTAGTCCCGCTGTAACACTGATGCATCAGTCTCAGACGTCATGGAGCTCAGGTGTTATCAGAACTACCTGTGTGTGTTCTCCACCCAGCTTCAGCTCTTCTGTGGTCGGGTCTGACCCACGTTAGCGTATTTATTTAACCGTTACTAGATTAGCAGCAACAGAAATGCTGCTAAAACACAAAAATGACATTTATTTCTGTAATTTAACTAGACTGAGAGACCATTTAAAGGCTCGGGAACCTTTGCAGGTGTTTCTATTTGCAATTTTAAATGTTAGCTGATTGGGATCTTATTAAGTATCACACAGTGACCTTTTAATAGTCTAGATAAGTAATGCTCCTGCTGTTAAGTACTTATTTATTTCAATTATTCAGGTTTATAAAAACAGACATTTTATTATGTTCATTAGTCATTTATAGTCAATTAAGTAAGTTTAATTAAGAGGGGAACACATTGTTCTTGCGTCCTTTAATGAAAAAAGTAACTAAGTAGTTATTTTTGTTGGTAATTAGTTACTTTTATAATCTTGTAACTTGGTAAGTAACTCAGTAGCTTTGTTGACAAAGTAATCAGTAACTATACTTACTTTTTAAAAGTAACATTCCCAACACTGTTGGTCACGCCGCTTTTGCACCATTGATCCGCACTTCCCCCAAGTCCCAGAGGGTCACCTGACCTGACCTTTGACCCCATTTTAGGCATGACAGAAAAACATGTTAAAAAAAGACTTTATTTCATACAGAACACAAAAAATATGTTTACAAAAGTCAACAGATGTTCAGTTTCACACACACACACACACACACACACACACACTAGCTGCCGAAGGATTTACCCACAGGTCCGTTTCAGAGCAGGAACCGGTTGTAAACAGAACCAGCTTCAGCACCGACTCACCTGGGAGCCGGAACACCTGAGGCGGCAGGTATCAGCTGACTGAACGCCCACCTGTCACCAAACAGGATGTAAAAACTAAACCAGGCGTGTCAGGCGCTTCGAGTCCAAACATGTCTGAGGTGAGGCGGTGCAGCAGAGCCACTTCAGTGATAGGGTGGGTTGTCGGTTCGAACACCTCTGTTCCAACGAGCCGTCACTTTCTGAGCGTCAGCATGGCATTAACATCCCACAGCAGGTTCCTCATCTGGTCCATCAGAACCTTCATCTCCTGGTTCTTCTGGCGGACCTTCTGCAGCAGGACAGGTGAGAATCAGTCAAGCTGGGGGACAGGTGCGACCCTAACAGGTAAATGCTTCTCTGGCTCTTCCAGGCCTGAGTCTGCACTGCCACCTGGTGGCCGTTGAAGGGTCTTCAGCTCCGATCCACACCTGATTCGTGTTTAACTGCTTTACAGTAGATGATCCTAACTGAGGCTCCTGCTGATCCTCACCACCTGTTTTACCTCATCTGATGACATCACCTGCAGAGCCACACATACTGGGAGACGCTAGCATTCATGTTCCTGTGTAGTGGCGATTCCTCGTCTGTCCCGCCAGCTTCCTGCAGCCATGTCTCGTACGCAGGCAGAAGATCTTAACCGCTGAATTTTATTCATCCAGCGTGGAAAGTAGGACACACACCTCCACTTCCTGCTCTGGTGAAAACCACGGGCCACACCAGTGCATGCTGGTCCAGCACCGGCCCGCTTACAGAAAACAAAACACCTTTTCTTCCTGGCTGATTCTAACGGGCTAAACTAACCAACGTCCAGAACCTCCTCCCATCATCACAGCAGGTCCAACTCACCTCCAGAACCTCTCGTCTCTCCTGGAGGACCGCCGGGCTGCAGGGCTCCACCTGGACCGACACCAGCTCCTCTCCAACATACGGAACGAGCTGCACACAGAACACGGATCAGACGACAGGAACCAACCCGCCGGATCACAACAAGCATCCCTGCCGGTCCTGCTCACCTCCGCTGGCACCTCCTGCAGCTCGGAGGTCATCTCCAGACAGCGCTCGTACAGCAGCCGCAGCTTCCTGAAGAGCAGAGGGAGCTGTCGAAGGTGTTCCTGGAGCCTCCCGAACCGGTCCTGGTACATGGCGTGGCTCTGGGTCACTCCGTTAGGAAGCTGGAGCCCAAACAGACAACAGAACCCAGAGAGTGAAACGAATGGTCCTGGTCCAGTCCAGCTGGTGATCAGAACCAACGCGGCCGTTTGTTCTCCCCATCACAGAATAACCAGAACCTTCTATGACTTCATGAATCTGAACCCTGTCACCACAGGTGAACACACACACACACACACACACACACACACACACACACACACACACACACACACACACACACAGCTTTAACCTGCGGAGTCTAGACGAAACCGGAAGTCATGGTTTATTCTTTTTGGATTTTGATTTTCACACAACTCAGAAACACCGTTTCTGAAGTCTCGCGAGATCTGCGGCTGTACCGCGCTACAGGGTCTGTTGTTTACATCATAAATGTTAGCTAACGAGTAAACGTCTCAGCAGTTCACCTGGACGTGTCGGACGCGCCTTACCTGCGTGGCTCGCGTGATCTGGAAGATCTCCATGGTGCGCGTGACGATGTCCTGTACGGTCTCCTGTCCGATCCGACACAGGAAAACCGGCGGGATCTCCCGGAGGGGCGGCTGCTGCTGCTGCGGCGGGAGCGGGGCCGCCATGAGCGTGTAAAGGCGGCCGAACCGAACCGGTGTCTGTACCGGACCGGTCCCTGTTTTCTGGTAGACTCCGGCTACGAACCGAGTTGATCCAGCGTCGGTTCTCGCGGTTCCGCTTGGTTCGTTGTAGGATCCGAGAGAATTCAACTGTTCGCAGAGAGCTGTGATGACGTCAGTTCCGGTTTAGCTGCAGTGTGACGCTTACCGCCCCCTGATGGGTGGTGTGGGTCATTACACCCCCTCCTCACCCAGCCCGTCTCCAGGGTGACTGATGTTAGTGTTTACATCACCCACGTAAACAGCACGCGGCTTTATTGTTGTTTGTTTGTTTGTTTAGGGTTAGCCTGCGCTGCTATTTATTATTTACCTCCGGAGCCTTTACACACCACTTCCTCTCCCGTGGAAATGGGATGAAGGGTCAGGCTTCACCGAGCTGCTTGCTTCTCAAATCAAATCAAATCAAATCAACTTTATTTATACAGCACTTTTCATACAAAAAATGCAACTCAAAGTGCTTTACAGATTAAAATGGCCCCATAGATCCCACATTCCCATCCCAGCCCCCCTCCCCAAGTATAAAACAATTAAAAATTACAGTTCCCCTCCCGCACCCAACTTCCAAAGTGGACATACAATCACCCGCACACACACACACACACACACACACACTCGTGAACACCAGAGGAAACAATAGGCTGAGTTCAGATGGGTCAGGTAATGAACGACACATCATCAGCGGAGCCATCTGCCTTGGCAGCAACAGATCCACGGCAGCAGCCAAGACACCGGCCCATGACGCCCAGTGGCGTAGGGCAGAAACCCCCACCAGTGCCCGGGCACTACCCGGGGAGCGCCCCGGCCGCCGCCGCCCCTGACCACCGGCCCCAAGGCAGAGGGCTCCGCAGAGGAAACACTGGAGGATTTAAGATATATAACATATAAAATAATAAAAGCTAATAATGATAAAAAGTAACTGATAAAAAGTGATTATAAAGATGGTAAAAGAAAACATAATCATGTAAAAACACTAAGATGTATATAGAATGATAAAAATAATAAAAGAGATAAATATGTATGTATAGATAAATAGTAATCAGTTAAAAGCTAAGCTAAAAAGGTGGGTCTTGAGCCTATTCTTAAAAGCCTGGATGTTCCCTTCGGACCTGAGGTCCTCCGGCAGCCCGTTCCAAAGGCGAGGGCCGTAATACTTGAAGGACGCCTCGCCGTGGGTGTGAGTCTTAACTTTAGGGATAACTAGGAGACGGCTGCCAGAGGAGCGCAGAGACCGTGAGGGTTTATATAGTAAAAGCAGTTCTGAAAGATAAGAAGGCCCAAGACCATTAAGACACTTAAAAACCATTAAAATAACCTTAAAATCAATCCTGAAACATACGGGGAGCCAGTGCAGTGATTTTAAAACCAGAGTGATGTGCTCCCGCTTCCTGGTCTTCATCAGGACACGTGCTGCTGAGTTTTGTAGGAGTTGTAAACCTGAGATGCTCTTTTTGGGAAGACCAGAACGCAGGGCATTGCAGTAATCAATTCTACTGGTTACAAAAGCATGCACTAGCGTCTCCGTATTGGCCCGAGAGAGAATGGGGCGGACTCTGGCGATATTCTTAAGATGGTAAAAACCTATTTTTGTGATGTTTTTAATGTGGGGGATAAAAGTCAGCTCAGAGTCAAAAATAACACCCAGATTCTTCACTTGTAGTGATGGATAAAAAGAGATTGGTTGTAGTTTAGGTAAAAGTTTCTCTCTCTGGGCCTCAGGACCGATGACTAAAACTTCAGTTTTGCCCTGGTTGAGCTGGAGAAAGTTTTCAGTCATCCATGATTTAATATCTAAAATGCAGTTAAAAAGTGTTTCCATTGGCTGAGAGTCATCAGGAGACACGGAGATGTACAACTGTGTATCATCAGCGTAACTGTGGAAATTCACCCCATGTCTCCTGATGACGCTGCCCAGAGGGAGCATATAGAGGTTAAAAAGTACTGGGCCTAGAATTGATCCCTGAGGCACCCCGCATGTGATGCTGTGGACCCCAGAGGAACAGGTATCCAGACTCACCATAAAAGTCCTGTCTGTGAGGTAGGAAGTAAACCAACTGTGAACAACACCAGAGAGGCCGATCTGTTTTAAACGGGTTAAAAGAATAGTGCGGTCTACTGTATCAAAGGCAGCGCTTAGATCCAGCAGAACCAACACTGATGCCCTCCGAGCATCATAATTTGTTCTAAAATCATTTAAAATCTTCAGAAGGGCCGTCTCAGTGCTGTGGTTCACCCTAAAACCAGACTGCAGTTTCTCTAGGACATGTTGGTGGTTGATAAAATCATTAAGTTGTATTAAAACAAGCTTCTCTAAAATTTTGCTTAAAAATGGTAAGTTGGATACCGGACGAAAATTGTTAAAGTCATTAAAATCTAAGTTGCTCTTCTTCAGCAGGGGTCTGACCACCGCCCGTTTAAAAGCAGCAGGAAAGACTCCGTCTGAAGGGAACAGTTCATCAAAGTTAAAACCTCATCTCTAAATGAGTCATAAAATTGTTTAAACAACCTTGTGGGGATCGGGTCCAGAACCCCGGTGGTAGGCCTCACTGAGGAGAAAACTTTATCAATAGTCTCAACTTCAACCAAGACAACACTGTCCAGTGTTTCCTCAGGTAGACGCACACTCTCAGATTGATCGGGAGCAGCGTGACATTGGGAGGATAAAATGTTACGTCTGATGGTGTCTACCTTCCCTCTGAAGTGGGCTGCAAACTCCTCACAGAGAGAGTCCGAGGGGGTTTTCTGGAGAGAACTAAATTCACGACCCAAAATATTTGTGACTGTAGAAAACAGAATTTTGGGATTATTTTTGTGTTCCGAGATGATTTTAGAAAAGTAATTATTTCTGGAATTTCTAACAGCTTTGTTGTATGATTTTAATAATTCAGTGTATATTTGTGGAGTGAAGGTAGAGGTTGCGCCGTAGGATGGCAGCACCGACGAGAGCTCCCAGTCATCTCAGCAAAAATCTTATTATTTATTTTGTTCTGCTCTCTATTACTGTGCGCACAGCGCGATCATACACGCGGTATGACAGACAAGCGCTTCTGGAGCTACGTTCATCAGCCAGTTCGGACTTTACAGCAGGTTTTGACTCCGTGGACGCTGTGCTGCCTGGGATCCTTTGTTTACTCGCACGACGTCGAGGGAAAACAAAGAGGGGAAAACGTGCTGGAGTTTTGTGCCGAACGCGACAGAGAAACAGCAAGCCACCTCTCCCCAGCATCCTGCTCGCGAATCTCCAGTCTCTGGACAACAAACTTGACGAGCTGCGTGCACGGATTAAACACCAGCAAGACATCAGGAACTGCTGCGTTCTGGCCTTCACAGAGACATGGCTGGAGCCCAGCGTCCCCGACTGCGCCATCACGCCGGATGGATTCACTGTTTACCGGGGAGACCGAACGAAGGACTCAGGCAAGAAGAGGGGAGGAGGGGTGTGCTTTATGGTTAACTCCTTGTGGGCCAGAGATGTGTGTATCTTAAAAACTTACTGCTCTCATAGCCTCGAGCTCCTGACCGTTAAAGTCAGGCCTTTTTACCTCCCGAGGGAGTTCAGCTCAGTTCTCCTCTCAGCTGTTTACATTCCACCACACGCTGATGAAGCCACGGCTATGGACGAACTGTATGACATCATCACTGGACTTGAGAACAAAAATCCAGAAGCTGCCTTTATTGTGCTGGGAGACTTCAACAGAGCCAACATGAAGAAGGTTCTCCCCAAATACTATCAGCACATCTCCTTCCCCACAAGAGGTGATCAAACATTGGACCATTGTTACACTCCATTCAAAGAGTGTTACAAACCCCTCCCCCGCCCAGCTTTTGGTAAGGCAGACCATTGTTCCATTCTGCTGCTGCCTGCATACAGACAAAGACTAAAACGGGAAAAACCAGCTTCCAGAGTTATTTACAAATGGGACAGTGAGGCTGAGGAGGCCCTGCAGGACTGCTTTGAGACAACTGACTGGCAGATATTTGTGGATGCAGCTGATGGCAACATCAATGAACTCACAGACTCTGTCATTGGATATATTGGGAAGTGCATGGATGATATCATCACAAAAACCACTGTCCGCATATACCCAAATCAGAAACCCTGGGTAAATAAAGACGTTCGCGCCAAGCTAAAAGCGCGAACCTCTGCCTTTAACTCTGGAGATGCTGACGCATATAAAGCAGCCAGGTATGACCTCCGAAAGTCCATAAAAAAGGCCAGAAAGGACTACAGGGACAAAATGGAGTCCGGCTACCACAGCTTTGACACCAGGCGACTGTGGAATGGACTGCGCTGCATCACTGACTACAAGAAGGTCAGCACAGTCAGTGTTCAGCCCACTGCATCTCTCGCAGACGAGCTGAACAACTTCTATGCTCGTTTTGATGCAGACAACAGAGAGGAGATCCTCTACCCTCAAGAGGACAGTGAGGCTGCAACTCTAACTCTGGAAACAGAAGCTGTGAGATGGGCCTTTAAAAAGGTCAATCCTCACAAAGCTCCAGGACCAGACGGCATCCCAGGCCGGCTACTCAGAGTGTGTGCAGACGAGCTGGCAGAGGTGTTTACCAACATCTTCAACCTCTCCCTGAGGCAGTCAGTGGTCCCGACGTCCCTCAAAGCATCCACCATCATTCCCGTTCCCAAAAAGTCCGTGGTCTCCTGTCTGAATGACTACCGTCCTGTTGCACTGACATCCGTCATCATGAAGTGCCTGGAGCGGCTGGTCAAATGTCACATCTGCTCCTCCCTCCCTGACACACTGGATCCTCTTCAGTTTGCCTATCGGACAAACAGAGCCACAGAGGATGCCATCGCCCTGGCAACACACACCGCCCTGACTCACCTGGAGAAAGGGAATACATATGCAAGAATGCTCTTCATCGACTACAGCTCGGCATTTAACACCATCATCCCCTCAAGACTTGCCACGAAGCTCGTCGACCTTGGGCTGGGAACACCGATCTGCAGTTGGATTCTAAACTTCCTCACAGACAGGCCCCAGGTGGTGAGAGTTGGTAAGCACACTTCCTCATCACTCATCCTAAACACAGGTACGCCCCAGGGTTGTGTGCTTAGCCCCCTCCTATATTCCCTGTTCACACACGACTGTG